TATCGCTGGAGTTGTGCCACGAGTTTAGGGCAGAGGCGAGGACTCAATGAGAGCATAGCTTTACAGCAATATTGAGGACTAGTGTTGAGAAAGGAATACAATTCAGAAGTTTTCGAAGAAAAGAAAAGTTTGGAAAAATTGTTAGAAAAGTGAATGAATTGAATGATTGCTTGCATTGAATACACGAACATATAATTGAAATAAACTGATTGTTACCACAAATTCATTGACACATAACTGATCCACAATTGGCTCAAAGGCTCAATACTATTACAATTGAATTGAATTTACATTTTTAAAAGAAATAAGTTTATTTCAATACTTTTTAATACTTTAATACATTAAACACTTGAAAGTTTGAATTGTTCTCCAAATAAATGACATTCAAATTCTGTGGCAAAATTAAGTTTAGTTTATCCACTGATGTCTTCAGGTTGTGACTGAACACAGCTGTAAGGGATCTGTTGGGCTGTTGTTCACAAACGTCAATGCATTGACAGATGGCATCGGCGGTGATCTGTTTCGCTTGCGAGACATCGATGCGATTGATTTGCTGGCAGTTTGTGATAAGCCATTCAAACGCTGTGTCCGTCACTTCTTTGTTGCGCTTCAGTGACAACTCCGACAACTGACTCATGCCTTCAATTGATGCCAAACACGCCATTATGTCTTCAGACCAAAAGAGGCACCTAATGAGGCAAAGTTTAACCAGATTTGGGGTAAACTTTTTCACTGCTTCCACACAGTCTTCAGCGAGTAATCCTCGGATTAGAGTCAATGATTTTAGTTGAGGACACCGTTCGAGCTCTTCGATGACCCTGTAGTCAATGGCCGCGCAGTTGTGGGACGACATCATTGTCAGCACTTCTAGGTTTTTCAGACTCGATATCGACGCGAATAGTGCTCCCAAAGCGAACTCCTGGTCGTTGTCGGCCACTCCAGAGCACAGATCTATTGACAGGACTTTTATACACTGTAAGAAGTGGCCGATAATAGGCATAGAAGACGGATCAAACCGATTGATTGTCAGTTCTCGCAATTGATTCACTCCTATTTGACCTAATCGTGAGATTGCCGTCCCGTTCAACAGATCACCTGAAGTGCTAATCGCTTCGATGCCGGCGTTTATATTATTAAAATAGTGGCCGTGATATACGTCGGGGAACGGTGTGTCCAGTTTGAACGACACAAGTCTTGGCCAACACTTCAACAAATGGCAGACCAAATACTCGCAGATCATAATACCATTGGGAGCTGTGATGTGAAACTCTCTCAAATCGGGACACGTCTGGAGTCGATAAACAGACGGCTCATCCGTTGAGTTAATAAACAGATGGGGGTCTCGAGCGGTGCACACGATGTTTAGGGAACGGATACGAAGGCCGCGCTCTTCGCACAACCATTTGATCAGATCTGTGCCGACGTTGACTTGGGATCGAAAGACACTTTCGAGACACTCGAGGCCACGATATTTGCCAATAATCTGTGGGATCGCCGAATGGATAGGCATTTGTGGCACGAATTCACACGAAGAAACTATAGGGAGAGTACGCGACGGCATTTCCAACACTTCTTTCACAACAATGTGTCCCAACTCTGGCTTCTCTTCGATCGCAAGGATTTTCTTNTGGATAGGCATTTGTGGCACGAATTCACACGAAGAAACTATAGGGAGAGTACGCGACGGCATTTCCAACACTTCTTTCACAACAATGTGTCCCAACTCTGGCTTCTCTTCGATCGCAAGGATTTTCTTCGTAGCGAAGATCGCGGACACGAGTTGTCGCCATTGAGTGCAAACTCTTTCGGCCATAAGTCGCGACTTGAGATCCAATTTTGCCAGTATTTGGGCCACGAGTTCAACGGGCAGTATGTCATTGATGTTCAGCTCTTCTCCTATAGTCTGCATCGGTATGTGATGTTCAGCGCCCGATGGACCTGATGTTACCACTGATGACTCAATTTTATCCACTGTTTTGATCTTTTCTTTGCTTGTATTTGAATTCATAACTGAGTTTTAATTGATATGAATTTGAATTTGTCTGTTATATAACTGCCTTTTTTTAATTAACTATAATTTAGTGTAAAATGTTTAGAAATTTAAATATTAATTTTTATTATTGAAACGCTATTATAATAATTATGTATATTTTTAATTGGCTTTACTTTTCTAATGGATTGCAATTCACAACACTTTGAGATTTGATAGCAATTTAGGCTTAAATTTATGACAACTTTATTATAATGTATTTTCTATACGTTTAGTGAAATCGCGTGAAGTATTGAAATATTGTTTGAGATTTAAATCTTAACAAAAGTTTAGATTTAACCGAAATATTTAGTGAACTATTGAATCAAATAAATTGACAAAATGTCGGATAAAGACAAAAACGGTGACAAACCTATGGGTAAAGTGAAGAGTACGGGTCCCGACAAAAACGGCGACAAACCTATGGGCAAAGTGAAGAGCACGGGTCCCGACAAAAGCGATCCAAAGGCCGAGAAGAAGTCACTCAAAACGACCTCAAAGGAGTCGTCGAGTTCGCAGACATCGAGCGGTTCCCAGACTTCGCATAAAAGTCTAGGAATGGGTCCATCGCTTCGGATGACGTCCACAGATATCCGCGAAATAACGAAAGAGACCCAAACTGTGACGCAATCCGTAAAGTTGACCGCTGAGGGCGGATCACCTCCGGGAGAGTCCTTATACGACACGATTGCGTACATTATCTACTGTCCGGCGCACGAGAAGGTAGCGATTGGCCAATCGGACAAAGACAAGACCACTTGGTTGCCATTCATCGCGTGTCCGCCAAACAAGACGTGGAGAGACGCGTCAGTGGACGGCGTGTCCGTCATATTCAACAAACAGGACGCGGAATTGGACGCAAAGTTGGGCAATAAGATTCCCATCAAAGAAATGCATTGTTTGCATGTCTTCCGAACCCAATTGCCGAACAAGAGTTTCATAACACTTGTGATCCAATGCGTGATTTTAGGCAAAAGCACACAATCTTTCAAATGCTGTCAAAACACCAAAAGAATCGTTTGGCTGCCGTTGAAGGACACGATGAGCGGTAACGTCGAGAGGGTTTGGGGTCCAGAGGTTCAGGACTTTTCCAAATCGGCGAAGAAGATCAACCCAACGGGTCTTACGGAACACAGTTTAGAGTTCGCCCTCTTCTATGTACCCAAAGGCCAGCCAAAGAGTGGCGAAGAGGTTTTGGTGAAAGGGGCCGGCATTGGACCCGTGGAGGCGGAGCTCCTGTACTCTGATTTCATTGAGCACTGCTTTCCGTCGCTCTCGATGTCAATGGATTCGTTCAAAGAATATGTGGTCAAGTATTTCGACAATATGGCGAAAGACGATCCAAAACTGCTCGTCATTTACAACGCTTTTAATTACGATAAAAATAATTGTTTAAATTTTCACGAGTTTTTGCTGGGATTGGCGGCAATGGAACCGCAGGCGCCCAACGAAGAGGCCCGCATGAAGTTTGTCTTCAGGTTCTATGACATGGATAATGACGGGAAATTGTCCACAAAGGAGTTCCGCAAATTTATCAAAGACATGTCCGTCGGATCCGATGACAGTGCGGTCGACAAGAAAGTGAAAGACGCGTTCGCGGCGATGGGCGCCAAAGACTCCGTCGATTTGGCGATGTTTTGCAAAGCCGTCGGCGAAAAGAAAATAAGAGGCACTTCCGGCTTATGTCGCGCATCGAAACCCATTTTCCAACAAATAACTCAATCGCAGACCAATCGCACGGAGAAGAAGACTGAAGTCAAAAAGAAGGCCGGATTTCTAATGCAAAACCGGAGGAATAAAGGCATATGTTTTGCGTGTCGGGGAAAGAAATATGATTATGGCTTGCATTCAATCAAATTGGACACTAATGGCCGCTGCGTTGAACCCCGAAGAATATTTGAACGTTAGTTTATAAGTAGTTTTTTATTTGTATTTTTAATTAATTTTATGATTGGTTACCAGCGGAGAGCGTGTCCACTGGTATGGATCACCAGAAGTACTCAATTGAGTACACATTCAACACCCGATCGATTGGCAATTCATTCGTCGATTTGATCAGAGATTTTAGCCGAAAGATGGGAACCGTTAAAGACCCCAAAGGATTCATGTCTGCCGATCGCGAGACACTCGTCAAATACATTCAGGTCTTGTCCGGCGATTTGGAGACAATGTTTGCGGGCGAGGATCGGATTATAAAACTAAATTCGCCGACTTATGTCTTCGGAGACATTTATGGACATTTGGAGGACCTGTTGACGTTCGAGAAGCAGTTATGGCAGTCGTTTCCCATCATTTCGGCTCATTATCTCTTTTTAGGCAATTATGTAGACTATGGGAAGTGGGGTATAGAATGCGCTCTCTATTTGCTGGCACTCAAACTCATAGCTCCGACCAAATTCATACTCTTGAGGGGACGGAACGAGACTCGAGCCGAGCAAACGAAGACCACTTTCCAGAAGGAATGCGTCACCAAATATGGCGGCAAAGATGGGGCGAAGATCTGGGAAATGATAAACAATTTGTTCGACAAACTGCCGGTCGCGGCCATCATCGACGAGTCCATATTCTGCACTTCTTCTGGCGTTCCCAACAGTGCCAACAAAGTGGAAGACATCGCCAGCATTGGATCCGATCAGAAGGAACCGGAGAAGAATGCCATCTTGAATGAGGTTTACTATTGCCAAACATTTGCCAATCCATTTGCTTATGACAATTGTCTGATTCCTTTGATTAGCTGCTGACCGGCGAACCCAACGAAAACGATGTCAAGAAGTTCCTCAACTCATTTAAATTATCGCATATGATTCGCTCGAATCAAATGGTTCCCAATGGCTATAATCTTCAATTCGGTGGTAAATGTATGACAATCTTCTCGAGCTCTCAGTTCTGTGGCAACAAAAACCAAGCGGCGTCTCTCTTCGTGGACAACGATCGCATTCGGATCATACATTTGGACACATCTAAGAACAAACCGGCCACCGATGCCAAGTGATTGACACATACCAGACATACAACAACCAAGTGATCATCAAATATACAGCAAAATAGACATTCATTTCGTTTATAATTTTCCCAATTCTTGTGAAAATAAAACTGTTTTATTCAATAAATCTCTTCTTTTATAATTATAACTTTTTAATGCATTTTATTGACAAGAATTGTAGTTTGAATTAGAAGTGAAATCAATTAAAAACTTTTTTTACTGCAAATATTTGCTTCAAAACATTTATAAACACAATAATCACTGATTATTGTTATTAATGTCCTTATTATCGGAATTTTGTTTGTTTAACGTTTGTTTGTCTTTCTTCTCCCGCTCTTTGACATTGTTTTCGAGTGTCTTTGGAGTTATAAACTCTTTGGGTATCTGTTTCTCAAGCCATGGATATTGAGCTATAATTTTGACTAAATTATTGATATCTTTGGGAATGCCTTTACCACACAATCTCTATACAAAAAAAACATACAATTTATTTAAAACAAAATCATATTCAATAAAGAATTGCTTTTTACTTTACAAAATGCATTTGAAAAGTCATTGCAATTCTTGCGGATCAGATTGTAATCCTTTCCACGAAACTCTTGGGCACCCATTTGTGTCACTATTTGTTGAATACTGTCTTCAGTTAGCTCTGTATAACCAATTAGTTTCGATTCCCTAATCATACAGAATATTCAGCAAAAACCTAATTGTTATGCCATTAAAACATTCAAACGATTATTACTTGTATTTGAAAGTATCGCTAACACTTAGGGATCGGATATCCTTAGGAGGGGTAACAAAAATACCGCTGAAGTCGTGCGGATGTCCTCCGAAGGAATATTCTTTACCGTAAACTTCGACTCCCGTATGAAAAACACCCAAATCTTGCGAAAAAATATTTATGTATTGATTTGCGTCCGGCTTTCAGTGCATAAGAAATTCAATTATCAACGAAAAAAGATCTTAATATTGAAAGATATGATAGTATTTACCACTTCATAGATATGAAGAGTCACCGATTGCTTCTGTATAACGCCATCTCCGAAATGAGTCGAATGAGGACTGTTATGGGCGCCGACACCGACTCCAGTGATAGCAGTAGTAGTAGTAGTGGTGATAGTGTCGTACAGATGAACGGCACCAACACATTGGCGGCCATTAAACACAAACACAGTTCCAGCAGTGAGGAAGAGATGGACGACAAACAGAGCGCCGATAGGACCGCAAAAGTGGACACCAATAAGAAGGGGAAGACAAGTAGAGTGAGCTTCTTGTCGGCCTATGTCGACGATAGCGACTCCGACGACGAGTGCGATGACGTTATGGAGCCGGTGATCCATTGTCCGTATAAACACACTCTGTGTCACGCGACCACTTCGGCCACTAATGGTCCCAACAATGACCTGAAGAAGTCGTCCATATTTAAGCCGATTGACACACGGAAGCGCTCGTACCGTAAGCGGCAAAAGAGTGGCCCCAATAGTAGAGACAATAGCAAAGTGGACACCAAAGTGGCCGACAATAATAACGCCGATTCCGATAATGCAAACAATAGTAATAAAAGTGATAATAAAAATAATGAAACCAATAGTAATACGAATCATGAAATGAGTGACAAATAAGATATAAAACATACAAAAAACTCAAAGTTTTTAACGCCGATTCCGATAATGCAAACAATAGTAATAAAAGTGATAATAAAAATAACGAAACAAATAGTAATACGAATCATGAAATGAGTGACAAATAAGATATAAAACATACAAAAAACTCAAAGTTTTGCACAATTTTTGACAAATAAATTTGTGAGAAAATAAATATCAGATTTGATTATTAATTGACTATTAATATGAAATAACTATTGTTTTTCAACTTGTAATTTAAATATATATATAAATATTATTATTATTTAGAGATAAAGTTTGTTAAATAATATAAGTTATAAATAATATATTAATTATTATTAAATGTATTATAAGTTATAAAAAACAAATCATTTGAAATTTTAAGTTTTTCTCTCATTTTAATGAGAAATGATTTTTATTTATCATTCATTGGAGAATCGCTTCCCAATTATTATACATCAATCGTAACGACGAATCGATTTTGTTATTTATATATTTTGTTTTTATGACAATTATTACGAGAATTACAAACAGACAAATGAATAACTCGTTTGTCTTCACATTTAAGAGTAATTATATAACAATATAATCGATGTTTTATTTAAATTAAATTATGTTTTTCTCTTATTTTTTTGTTATCATTTTTCGATGCTTTTTAATAATCATATGTTTTTGTTGTTTGATTTGTTAATAATAATAATAATCACGAGAAAAATGAAGTCATATGTCGTACAAACTATAAATAAAATTAATAAATAGGGTTTTTTTTCTTATTGTTTGTAAAATTAATATAAAGTTTTGTCTCAAATATTTTTTAGTCATTTGATATACTATTGAGAAATACATGTCTTCTAATGGAAGCTCTAAATTGTTTTTACTATTCATTTTGAGTTCTAAATTCATTTTGATTTTAAACCATTAATTTAGATGTTATTTCACATGTGTTTTAAACAGTGAGATATTAATTGTATTAAAACAATGTATTGTTAAAAAGCAAATAACGACGACGAAGACGACGACAGGTGGGACCCACTGGGCGTTCCGATCCGGCCTTATCTCTAAGCATTAAAGCCAGTGAAATACACGCCTTTCCCTTCCGACTCATTCGCAATGTTTTTATGTTTTGTGTTTTTCTATAATTCATTTGACAATACATTCACAAAAATATAGCATTACTTATGAAATAATGTTTTAAAAAGTTTCGATTTCTTCTCCTTCTCGACCGAACCCTTGGCCTCATTCGGGGTGTGCTTTAAGCTCGTGTCCGATGTGTCCGGCGTTTGTTCGGGCCCTGAGTTCTCTTGACTATCGGATTCGACGCGTTTCTTAGATTCTTCTCCGCCGTTATAGATCTACACAAACCAATCCATTAGCAAAACAACACATCACAACAGCGTTACTCTCTAAACACACTTTGGTTTTACTCTACTATTAATCAGTTCTACACAAGAGATAGAGTGCTTATCGATTGAATGCTTAGATTTATAGCATAAAAACAGATCTTCGATAACAAAAAAGGCAATCAATAAAAATAATAGAGAAGTAAAAGGAAAGCAAACAAACAAAATCACGCATAAGTAATGTTCAAAACAAACCTCTGCTTCGGGTCCTAATAGAGAACACGAAGAGAAAAATGGTTTTAGACTCGGCTTTGGGATCGAAGATATGCTGATGTCGTCAAAGTCTTGTCCGCTATCACTCAAGTCGTCGATGTCTTCCTCTTCGAAGAATTCGTCGATTTCTCGTGAGTTCTGGAGCTCTTCGGAAGCCATAAGTTGTTGTTCGAGTGCCGCCTGATATTGTTCTTCGGTGTCGAACGCCTCGGAGTCCGGTAACCGAAACTTCTTCAGCAAAGCTATGAATTTTTGCTTCAGATTTCTATCATTCCTTTGTTGTGCGTTTGGATCGCATCCGACGACCTCTCGATTCGTGAATAATTTCATATTCTTCCGAGTGTTCACTTGTCGGCGCCATTCGTTCACTCGGTCTCGAGTGCTGCTGCTGTGGCCGCGACTCGTCGACGGCTCTTCATTCGTCTCGCTATCACTTCCCTCTTCGCCGGACGTAAAGTCTTCGTCATCGCTGTCCGCTTCGGCGGATCTGTCCAGCAATGAGTGGTCTAACGGCACTTTCATTGGTCGCCCGTTACTACTGCTCACGTAATCAATTGGTTGACTCCGCAGCGAACAGATGGTGATTCTGGCGATCGTCTCGTTTTTGGCCGTGTCTTTGGTGTAAGCGTTCAGTTCTAACTCGCGGTCAGAAGTGGTCGACTTCTGTAACACTTCGGCCATATTTATGAGAACGAAGGCCAGTGTCTTGAAGCCCAAAATGGCCCGATTTTTATACCGTTTGCGTCTCTGAACCATAATTTGCAACTGATTTCCGTTACGCTTCAAAAAGTGCGGGTATTGTAGAGAGAAAGTCAGGTCCAGCTCTATAGTGCCTGCGTTCGTGTCCATCACTTTAGCCACACTTATCTCATTAGACCGCAGCGTCCGCTTCGAGCTCTGCATCTTCACGGCTATCATAATCGCCGTCACATCCGGTCCTAAAGGCTTGCATAACACCAATCGTGTGATGTTTAGCGAACAGAGTCTGCCATTGAAGACACAATCAAAACAAATGAGTCATTT